CGCGACCTGTTGGTTTAGAAGTCAACGCCTCTACTCACCGGGCCACGAGCCCGTTGCCTTGTCGGTTTTCGATCGGGAATATACAATGTTAGGGTATGTTATTGTATGTACAGTAGGTTCTCAACAAATGAGCGTCTAGTCTGCACTTAAGGGATTTGACACTTTCGGAAAGAACGACGGCGTCAGGGAGTCCATTCCATGCCCCGATGACCCTGTGAGAGAAGGCGTTCCGTCGGACGTCCGAATGAGCCCGCTTCCTTTGCAGTTTGAATGGATGACCACGCAGACGGTCAGTCCGGGCCAATTCAAAGAATTCATCAAAGTCTAGGGCACACTCACGGCTTCTGACAATCCTGTAGGTTTGAATGAGATCGCCGCGCAGTTGCCTGTAATTTAGAGGAAACAGATTTAGTTCGGTCAGTTTGGTTTCGTAAGGCAAATGATGAAGATTCTTGACCATCTTCGTAGCCATCACCTATACTCTTTCCAGTCGTTGATAATCTTTCTTTAACCACGGTCGCCAGGCCTACACTGTTTTATTACGTCAAAATCAGTTTGACTACTGAGTGTAAGTCTGCCATCCTCATATTTACTTGAGTGTATTCCACAGTTATTCACTGAAAATAAATGGCTGTGCCGCTAAGTTTCGATTGGCAAATGTGTCCAATGAGGCACCGACAAACTTGTCCCATTTCGACTACCGTCGTATTACAAGCTCGTAAGGTTGACACACTTTTAAAATGCTGTCCAGGATATGTTGAATTTCTTTAGTCTCTTAACAGCAGAGTGCTTGGTTTTGCCACCTTAAGCAGTAAGTTACCTTTAAGTACTCTCTTTTGACTTAACTTATATCAAGATTTGTTAAAAAATCCATTTCAAACCGACAAATGTCCAGATATTAGGAACCCCTGTGTTAAAAATACTTTTTGCTAGGTGCTTACTTACTCTCCAAAGTGTAAAGTTGACAGTTGAGACTTCCTTCATGTTCACCGTGTTTGATTTAGTTTTAACAACTTCATTGAGTGCTTTTTAAGGTAGTCGTGGACGTTTGCATTTTTTGCAGGGACCGATAAGTGGTTGTTTCTGCATTTCTGGGTCGTTTTACTGATCATTACCGTTGCTTTTAAATCTTGTTTCATTGTTCTGAAGCTGAAGCTCCTTTTTAGTAAAATCATAGCCACATATTAGGGAAAGTACCATTGGCAGTTTACAGGGAATTCAGTCCCAAAGTAATTTTTATAATATCCTAATCTTCCGTTTAACATCGTCCTTTGGAAACAACCTACACACATTCATTCCCACGATCCACATTTTCTTCTTAAGTTGGGCAAGAAAATAAATTCGTTAAATTTCAGCCCATGGGGCAGTTAAATGTCTTCTATGTCAGCTTAATATTGCTTGTCGATGTCAACCAGATATCTGTGCCAAGCGATGCCTACAGAACTGACAGAGACCGTTTTTTGGATTGTTTTAGACGACCTACTAGAGGCGACATTCTCAAGAAAATGTTTCAGCTGCTTCTGAAGTCACGGGTGTTCACCTGCCCAATGCGCGCCATAATCCGAAGTTTATCTTTTCACAGAATGAGTCACCGCCAGCTAATTGGGGTCAGTGGAGCCATTGCCACGGAATTTCTCCAAGGCCTCATCACTAATGACATGAATCTACTGGCCGCCGCTTCAACCAAAAAGAACCCATTTCTCTTCTCCCTTTTTCTCAACGCTAAGGTAAGCGTCAGTATCGCCTTTTGTAGTAACTCTTAGGGTCGAACTCTAACCGATGCCTTCATCTACAGCCTCCCCCCTGCGCGCTCATCTCAAGCCCATTCTCGATATCTTATTGAGTGCGATTCTCAGGTCAGAGACCAACTGCGCAAGCTACTGGTCGTGTACAATCTCCGAAAGAAGGCGAGTAATTTTGCATCAGTCATTTTGATGATCTAAATCCTAAATCCTTACATGTTTATCTCTATTCCCAGTTAGACCTCACAGCCGACTTCTACAGTTTTCCTGTTTTTCCTGCTTGATGTCTGCCTCGAGTTTAACTACCCATACGGATGATTTCCTGTCCAGCTTGAACAGCCATTCGTACCAGTCAATCT